CTATTCCTCTGCTGGTGGGACTACATCGTTCTTGGTTTCAGATGCCTGAAGAAATCTATTAACCTTGATTATGTCAGGCTAATAACGAGTCACCCTGCTAAACAGAGTGGGGTTCATGTGGAGAAGGATGTGGGTGCATCGTGCACTCGAGAAAGCCAGCGGATTATAAAAATATGGGTCTCTTTGTTGCTCTGCAGATCAAATGTGGAAGCTGCAGTTTGCTATATTTGCCGTTCATTAATCCAAAGGCAGGGACGTCACATGACACTCGACATCCAATCAATTCAGTCACCTTGAACTTTGAAGATGAAAGACTAACATGTTGAGACTGATCTCATTCTTCCTGCTCTAAAATACTCCCCGTGTTACAGTCTGGATTGGTGTTGATCACAAACCGCTCACATCAAGTCAGTCAAGGAATTTTGTTCTGACAGAGAAGCCGACACTCGCCAGCAGGATGGTGCTCAGCTTGAACAGTATTGTGTTGATCCGCAGTGACCTCTTGTGCTCCCAGTAATCCCCATAACCCGTCTTTGCTCTTCTTAGAAAATATAAAGGAATCTTTAAGTAAACTAAGTGAGGAATTTTAAAAAATTCCCATGTTGTTGCAGGATATTAATGACTAACCTCATAATGTGGATGGATTATCTCAGTTGTCCTGACTGACGTTTGGTCCGTTTACAGCATCCTGCCATCGTTCTAACCTCAAACAGAAGTAACATACATGTCATACCTGCCACGGAGAGCTTAAACACGTGTTGTGGAGTAATGAGAATCGATCTTATCTTCATGTTACTCAGGGCTTCCTGACACTGTTCATGACTCTGGTATTATTCCAGTCTTGATGTACAAACTAATTCTGACCTTTCCATATAAATGCAGAGACAGAACGAATAAACCTCGCTCTGTACCACCTACCTACAGCTCTGACCATCGGAGGCAATGTCCATGAAAATGGGAATTTATTCAGGTTGCTCCAGTTATTAATTGGAGATCTGATACTAGAGGCA